GCCCCCCTTTACATCCCCCCCTCCACAGCATTGCCCCCCCTGTCAACAGAGCGGCCAGCAGGAGACCGAACATTTCTGGAGCGAGTGTGGAATAACAGCACAGCATTGAACAGAACGCGGGAGCAGGAGCTGTCATAACATTTCCAGATCGGATGCGGTAGGCACAGCACAGCATGGAATAGAGTGCAGGAGCTACATGGGTTAACTTTTTGAATTACCCAGCAGTTGATTTGCCGCTAGGGCCACCCTGTTTCCAATCAGCCATTGGTTAACGTAAAAAGTTAACCCCAGCAGCTCCTGCACTCTATTCAATGCTGTGCTGTGCTTCCTGCATCCGGTCCGGAAAGATTCTGTCTCTTGCTGTCCACTCTGCTGATATAACAGCAGCAGAGGACGGATGGAAAGAAGCAGCTCCTAAATGGTGTGACCGGGTTCAGATGAAACAGTGGCTAGGTCCACATCCGGACCGTGGTCCGCCATTTAGTGATGCCTGCTTTAGTCAGTTTGTTATGAAGTTTCTATTCAAATTATCACATTTCTTTCCAGTCCACTACAGTCAGCTATACAGTATTATTAATTTGGTGTTTTTGCTATCATTATGTGCTGTAATGGTTTGATAGTTTGCAGGCCTTTTTCTGTGAACCTTATGCACTTATAAGAAAGCAATAATATATACATTAGCTGCATATGACTGATGAAGAGAAATGTAAAAATAAATCTTACTCTATTGTTATTCTGCAGTTGTACTAAGATTCAATCAATCTTCATCTTACTCTGTAGTTACAATGAATTTAACAAGTAATACCTCTTAATAAAAAATATCATTTTTACTTATCTTGTATTCCAACTTAGTATACCATACCAGCCAACATTTTAAAATCTCAGCTTCAGAAGATCAATTCAGTCCAAAGTACTGTTTTATGTAATGTAAACTCTTCACAGAATATAACAATATTAATAAGCCACATGAATAGTCCCACTGTCCTTTCTAGGAAGTCTCCAACTTGTAATCCAAAACAAAGCACTAAAAGTGTCTTCTCCACCAATAGGTGAATTGAAAACTCACTGCAAGATTTCGCTGTCTATGAATAGAACAGCAATGAGTGCCTCTGTAGTAGTAATTCACTCTCTCTCCCAGGATGTGTTCCTCTGCTATATCAAGAATCAATATTTATCCTCATATTCTGCTCCATCAGAGGTCAGTGTATGCTCTCATATCCTCCAAAAACCACAAAGAGGGCCACCAGACCAGCTTGGAATGGTGGCACGACCTCCAGCAGTATGCCACAAGCCAACACTGTTCCATGCGATAACGTGTCCTCAGGGGTCTCCCTGAAGTAAAACAGGCATAGCATTATAACTCACTAATATTGTACTTTAAAAATTATTCTTAGCCCTGGTTCTTTGCACCAATGAAAATTCATAACTGAAAGGACTAGATTCTGTAATATGATCTCATTGCAAATAGCTAATATGAAAATATACAGTATATATTCATAATTTTGATTTGCCTGTAAAAGCTCAGCTGCAGGTTGGACAGACACCATTCCCAAAAGGAACGCCCTGCACCCGTTGGATCACCCCCCCCACCCCACAGCATTGCCCCACCATCTTCTTTCTGCAGCGGTGATCAGTGGTCTTTAGTAATAAAGAGGACAATGCTCAAGTAGTGTCGTGAATGCTGTTTCTGCATCTTTCTCATGTGGATCCATAGCAGCTTGATGGTGTACACCTAGGGGGGGGCATTTCCTTGATGCCCTAGGCTTACAGGAAGTTGGACCCATTCATTTCTGAAGAGGATTGGCTGTCAGGCTGAAGAAGGATACAGAAATATGGAGAGAATGAGTAAAGCTTTGGGTCCTTTTTTATAAGCGAGAGGGTTATAAGGCTTTAAATTAGGCTTTAAGTAGCAACTCTTGAAGAAAACCATTGCTGAAAAATATGGGGTTACCATTACTGGCCTCCTCCTAAGAATGCTAGTTGCTTGACAGCCATGCTGCTCAGACAGAAATGATAACTCATGATCTTTACACTAATTGGCAAGTGACTCAGAAAGTTCTAATGCCACTGAATTAGCATGAAAGCCAAGCAACTTGTGTTTTCAAAAGAAAAGAAGGCAACTTTCATATATCACATAGTACAGGTTCACGTTTAAGAAGGCTGGTTGAGGCTATATTTAGAATATCTTGAAAGATTTTTTTCCAATTAGTTCCTGGTTAGATTGCTAATTTTGTATGTTCTCAGTAAAATTATCTTTTACCTTGTGTCTTTTAGTTCCAAAGTGTCAGTTTTTCTAACAGACAGCATAACCTTATTTTACTCTGGTTCATCGCATACAATATACAGTATTCATTAAGCTATATTGCAACAGAAGTATGTCATATAATCATTAATGGGAATATCTTCTATCTCTGAAGATAAGTTTCCCTAGAACAAAATCACTTGCAGAGTTCTTAAAGTGTTACTAGACCCACAACAGTAAAATCAGTCTGTATATGCAGTAAAGCATGCTTGTTATACTCACTGTGGAACCTAAGGGGTTAATACTCTGCATTGTGTAAAAAGGCCGTTTGATCCTGTTTTCTCTGCTTCTCCTCTTGTTCAGATGTCCACCTGAACCTGTAGCCAGTGGCTTCCCGAGGCAGGTGCGGGGGGTGCGCGCTGCAACGGGTGACACCTATCGCATGGGGTGACACTGGACCTGATGCGCGAAAAGGTAAGTTGTAAATCAAGCCGACGACCCCCGCAGAATGGATTGGATCTGCAGATTGAGCATAATGGATCGGCCTCCGATCCATTATGCTCCCCAATACGCAGATCTGAACCATCCTGAGCGGATCGTCGGCATGCAACCTATACAGGGTGACACTGGACCGGCTCCACAAAAAAGTAAGTTGTAAAGAAAGCTGACGATCCCCACAGGATGGATCGGCTCTGCAGATTGGGGAGCATAATGGATCGGAGTCCGATCCATTATGCTCAATCCGCAGATCCAATGCATTCTGCGGGGATTGTCGGAGGGGGGGGTGTCACCAAGTGTTATCAACCCTAGGGATGCCCCTGCCTGTAGCCACATGCACATGCTCAGTTTAGTGTGCATTGCTAGGGGTTTTGCATCCTCCTAGAGCAGAAAGAAAACTCTGCCTACCAGCTTTAAGCAGTGCTCCCTTGAAGTCACAAGACTGCTCTAACTGCTGATGAGAATTGGTATTTAGCAGTTTATATTTTCTAAAATAATTGCATTTCCATGTTCTGTGTACTGTGGGAGACCAGATATAGTGAATGCAGGGTCCTGGGTTTAGTAACACTTTAAGTTAGTTGTCATGAAATCATAGGCATTTTGGTTCCCTATACAACAAACAAATGGGAACAGAAACCTTTACTTGGACTTTATAAAGTATCTATTTTTTTTACTGGTTTCCCTTCTGGGTTCTTTTCTCTTTCAGAAGAGTCACTTGAAGTGTCTGAGACATATATTTTTTCGCTCCATAAGACGCACTTTTTTCCCCCAAAAAAAGGGGGGAAAATGTCAGTGCGTCTTATGGAGTGAATATGGAGCGGCCGGTCCGGTATTTCCACCGCCGCCATGTCAGAATACAGGGCCGGCCGCTCAGCTCTGCAGCGGGACCTTACCTGTTCCTCTATCCAGCGCCGCGCTGTCTTCCCGGCTTCTGTAGTGTGGGCGCTGAGCTTGACAGCCGGGTGCCCAGTGCACATGCGCGAGAAACGCTGCGCTTTGTGAATGGTAAGGCGGCACCTGGGACACATGACAGGTCCCAGAAGCTGCCGGACCAATCACAAAGCGCAGCGCTTCTCGCTCATGCGCACTGGGCACTCGGCTGTCAAGCTCAGCGCCCACACTACAGAAGCCGGGAAGACAGCGCAGCGGCTGGATAGAGGAACAGGTAAGATCCCGCTGCAGAGCGGACACTAACCAAAGAACAACTCCGCGGAAGTAAGAGCGGGTACCTGTCAAATTCAGGTACCCGCTCCGCCCCTCTCCCCAAAGGTCAGCAGTCATCTCCTGTACTGTCCGCAGTCTCTGGTCATCTCCTGTACTGTGTCCGCAGTCTCTGGTCATCTCCTGTACTGTCCGCAGTCTCTGGTCATCTCCTGTGCTGTCCGCAGTCTCTGGTCATCTCCTGTACTGTCCGCAGTCTCTGGTCATCTCCTGTGCTGTCCGCAATCTCTGTCATCTCCTGTACTGTGTCCGCAGTCTCTGGTCATCTCCTGTACTGTGTCCGCAGTCTCTGGTCATCTCCTGTGCTGTCCGCAGTCTCTGGTCATCTCCTGTACTGTGTCCGCAGTCTCTGGACATCTCCTGTACTATGTCCGCAGTCTCTGGTCATCTCCTGTGCTGTCCGCAGTCTCTGGTCATCTCCTGTACTGTATGCAGTCTCTGGTCATCTCCTGTGCTGTCCGCAGTCTCTGGTCATCTCCTGTGCTGTCCGCAGTCTCTGGTCATCTCCTGTGCTGTCCGCAGTCTCTGGTCATCTCCTGTACTATGTCCACAGTCTCTGGTCATCTCATGTATTGTGTCCGCAGTGTCTGGTCATCTCTTGTACTGTGTCTGCAGTCTCTGGTCATTCCTGTACTATGTCTGCAGTCTCTGGTCATCTCCTGTACTATGTCTGCAGTCTCTGACCATCTCCTGTACTATGTCTGCAGTCTCTGACCATCTCCTGTACTATGTCCGCAGTCTCTGGTCATCTCCTGTACTGTGTCCGCAGTCTCTGGTCATCTCCTGTACTATGTCCGCAGTCTCTGGTCATCTCCTGTATTGTATCCGCAGTCTCTGGTCATCTCTTGTACTGTGTCTGCAGTCTCTGGTCATTCCTGTACTATGTCTGCAGTCTCTGGTCATCTCCTGTACTATGTCTGCAGTCTCTGACCATCTCCTGTACTATGTCTGCAGTCTCTGACCATCTCCTGTACTATGTCCGCAGTCTCTGGTCATCTCCTGTACTGTGCCCGCAGTCTCTGGTCATCTCCTGTACTATGTCTGCAGTCTCTGGTCATCTCCTGTACTATGTCCGCAGTCTCTGGTCATCTCCTGTACTGTGTCCGCAGTCTCTGGTCATCTCCTGTACTATGTCCGCAGTCTCTGGTCATCTCCTGTACTGTGTCCGCAGTCTCTGGTCATCTCCTGTACTGTGTCCGCAGTCTCTGGTCATCTCCTGTACTGTGTCCGCAGTCTCTGGTCATCTCCTGTACTGTGTCCGCAGTCTCTGGTCATCTCCTGTAGTATGTCCGCAGTCTCTGGTCATCTCCTGTACTATGTCTGCAGTCTCTGGTCATCTCCTGTACTATGTCCGCAGTCTCTGGTCATCTCCTGTACTAGGTCTGCAGTCCATTGGTTTACAATATTTTTTTTCCTGTTTTCTGCCTCTAAAACCTAGGTGCGTCTTATTGAGCGAAAAATACGGTACTTAATCCTTATAGAACATTCCATTGGAGGCGTTCCAGGCTTCCTGACAAGGAAAGACGTCTTGGCATAGCCACTCAACATGCTGGAGGCATAATGTCATTGCTGGTCTGAGAAGAAATAGACAGATCACAGAGAGACCAGATGATCCATGGACAGTCAAATGGAGACTTAGGTTGATCTGCTTAAATGTTAGACAAAGTAAGCAAATGGCTCCTGTGCAAGAACTATTTTTGACACCTTTTTCAATTACTGCAAAAGTACAAATATTTGATATGGAACTTAACTAAAACAAAAATCTGAATAAAAACTTCTTTATTTTATAAAAATATTCAAAGGGAAAAAATATCAGCAGAGACTTGACGGTGTATTGCCCAAGGATTCTTTCAGCGGGAATGCGGGGGAACGCAGTTCCGACACCTACAGCACTGAACATATGTAATTTAATTGAATGTAAGGAGTGCTGGGGTGTGCTGGAGGGTCTATTAATGCAGGCTGCTGGGGATCTATTGTTACTGGAGGGGTGTAACTATTTTTGCATGGAGGTCTATTGTTGCTGGCGAGGGAACAATTGCTGCTGGGGCTGGGTCTTATATTGCTGGAAGGACAATTTTCACTGTGAGGGACCTATTGTTGAGGGCAGGGTCTACTGTTGCTGGCTGCTGGATGGTCTAAAGATACTGACTGTGGAGAGATCTGTTGTTGCTGCCAGCGGTTTATTGTTGCTGGGGGGATTATTTAGTTGCAGGTGATCCATTGTTGCTGGGCGGATCTGTTGTCGCTCGTGTAGGGAGATCTATTATTGCTGGCTGCAGGCGATCTATGTTACTGCTTTTCTTGTCACCATTAACAAATTCCAGAAAAAATACTTAGCACCACACAATGACACTTGGTTCTGTATTCTCTACAACAGGGGTCTCCAAACTTTTCAAACAAAGGGTTGGTTTATGGTCCTTCAGACTTTAAGAGGGCCGGAGTGTGGCCAGTGGGGGTAGAAAATGTTTCGGGCCTAGCATCAGTGAGAATAAGCATGGCCTCAGGGATGGTGGTCATAGGAGGAAGAGTAGTGCCCCATCATTGGTATTAATGGGACGAATAGTACCCCAGAAGTGATATCAGTGGAAGAAATAGTGCCCCATTGTTGGTGTCAGTGCCCCAAGGGCTGGATAAAGGCTAGCAAAGGGCCACATCCAGCCCTTGGGCCTCAGTTTGGAGATCCCTGCTCTAAAAGGCTGGAATTGGGAGGTGGGTAAGGGGTGGAATGGTGCTCAGAGGTGGGTAGGGGGTGAAGACAAGGGGTGACTTGGAAATGACGAGTTCCAGCACCTATTCTCTGAGCAAAAAGGCCCTGGTATTGCCATAATGTAAGCATTTGCGTAGAATGTTCTTTTCTCTATTAAAACTACCATCTTACATATCCTTATCGCATTATGTATACATATCATTACACTGATCAGTTGTAATAAACTATTAATACAGTAGGCATACAGTTCACACTGAACAGATAGGATAGAGCTGGTATCTTGTTCTTTGACATAGTTCGCAATAAGCTTCATCAGAAAAATAAGGTAAGTTGGAAAGATATGATATCTGAACAATGAATAGACATCACATTTTTGCATAACCTTTACATCTGAGCAACAGGACTGTATTTATATTTGCATGTACACTGAAGAATCAGAGGATGCCACGATCCCAAAAAGAGGAGAAATAAGATAGCACAGTAGCGCAACAATAATATATATAATATATATACAGTATATATGTGTGAGTGTATATATATATACAATGGGTATAGAAAAGAATCGGCCCCCCCCCCTTTAAAATAATCACATTTTGTTGCTTTGCAGCCTGAAATGAAAACAGACACAGTTTTTGTTTTATCCAGCAGCATTTACTCAGTGTGACTTATAACATCCAAGTAACAGATATAACACCAATATATAAGAAAAACAGTTTAAAAAAAATAAAAAACAGAATCTTTGAGTTGGAAAAAGGATAACCCTCTTGTGTCAGTATTTTGTTGAACCACCTTTTACTTTAATTACAGTCTTTAGTCTGTTGGGATATGTCTTTAATAATTTTGTACATGTAGACTTTGCAATATTTGCCCACTCTTCTTTGCAGCACTGCTCAAATTCAGTTAAATTGCATGGTGACCATTGTGGACCGCAGTCTTCAATTCATTCCACAGATTGTCAATAAAGAGGCCAGTGTATATATATACACCGCGTTCCAAATTATTATGCAAATTCTATTTAGGTGTCACAAAGATGAAATATTTTGTTTTTCAGTTTAACTCATGGATGGCATTGTGTGTCAGGGCTCTTTTGATCACTGAAAACAATCTCGGACACCTATGATAATTAGATTGGCAGGTGAGCCCAATTTAAGGAAAAACTACTAAAGGAGAGTGTTCCACATTATTAAGCAGAGCACCATTTTCAAGCAATATGGGGAAGACTGAGAATCTCTCTGCTGCCGAAAAGAGTGAAATAGTTCAATGCCTTGGACGAGGTATGAAAACATTAGATATTTCACGAAAACTTAAGCGTGATCATCGCACTATTAAGAGATTTGTGGCTGATTCACAGCACGGACGGGTTTGTGCAGATAAAGGCACATTGAGGAAGATTTCTGCCAGATCCATGCAGCAGATCAAGAGAGCAGCTGCTAAAATACCATTACATAGCAGCAAACAGATATTTGAAGCTGCTGGTGCCTCTGGAGTCCCAAGGACATCAAGGTGTAGAGTCCTCCAGAGTCTTGCAATTGTGCATAAACCTTCTATTCGGCCACCAATAACCAATGCTCACAAGCAGAAATGGCTGCAGAAAAAAATTGGGCAGAAAAATACATGAAGACTACTTTTCAAACAGTCCTGTTCACTGATGAGTGCCGTGCAACCCTGGATGGTCCAGATGGATGGAGTAGTGGTAGTGGATGGTTGGTGGACGGCCATCCTGTTCCAACAAGGCTGCAACGTCAGCAAGGCAGTGGTGGAGTCATGTTTTGGGCCGGAATCATGGGAACAGAGCTGGTCGGCCCCTTTAGAGCCCCCAAAGGTGTAAAGGTGACCTCTGCAAAGTATGTGGAGTTTATGACTAACCACTTTCTTCCCTGGTACAGAAGGAAGAACTATGCTTTCCATAATAAAATCATCTTCATGCATGACAATGCACCATCTCTGCTGCAAAGAATACCTCTGCATCAATGGCTGTTATGGGGATAAAAGGAGAGAAAGTCATAGTGTGGCCTCCATCCTCCCCTGACCTAAATCCTATTGAGAACCTTTGGAGCATCCTCAAGCAAAAGATCTATGAGGGTGGGAGGAAGTTTACATCCAAACAGCAGCTCTGGGAGGCTATTCTGACATCTTGCAAACAAATTCAAGCAGAAACTGTTCAAAAACTCACAAGTTCAATGGATGCAAGACTTGTGAAGCTGCTATCAAATAAGGGGTTCTATGTTACAATGTAACCTGACCTGTTAAAATGTTAAAAAAGTTAAAATGTTGTTAAAAGTTTGATTGAAATAGCTTTTGATTTCAGTAAATATGCTGCAAACACAACAAATGACAATTTTCAGTTCTTTACAACCTATAAAGTGTTTTGAAACTTACTGTGTGTAATAATTTGGAACAGTGCATTGTGTTTTATGTGAATTATTCAAAAATTCGATTCGGCCGATTCGCCGAATTTCAGGAAGAAATTCGATTCGATGCGAATTTAATTCGCTACGAAGTTAACTTATAAAAAGGGTTTCTAGGCTTCAGAGAGCCTTTAAATTAGTGCAGAACACTGTACCTTTAATTTAAATGCCCTTGGAGATGAGGAAGGAGAAGGAGAAGGAGAAGGATGAGAAGGAGAAGGAGAAGGATGAGAAGAAGGAGAAGGAGAAGGATGAGAAGAAGGAGAAGGAGAAGAAGGAGAAGGATGAGGAGAAGGATGAGGAGAAGGATGAGGAGAAGGATGAGAAGAAGGAGAAGGAGAAGGAGAAGGATGAGAAGAAGGAGAAGGAGAAGGATGAGAAGATGGAGAAGGAGAAGGATGAGAAGAAGGAGAAGGAGAAGGATGAGAAGAAGGAGAAGGAGAAGGATGAGAAGAAGGAGAAGGATGAGAAGAAGGAGAAGGATGAGAGAAAGAAGGATGAGAAGAAGGAGAAGGATGAGAAGAAGAAGAAGGAGAAGAAGAGAAGGATGAGAAGAAGGATGAGAAGAAGGAGAAGGATGAGAAGAAGGGATGAGAAGAATGAGAAGAAGGAGAAGAGAAGGATGAGAGAAGGAGAAGGATGAAAGAAGGAGAAGGATGAGAAGAAGAAGGAGAAGGATGAGAAGAAGGAGAAGGATGAGAAGGATGAGAAGAAGGAGAAGGATGAGAAGAAGGATGAGAAGGAAGAAGAAGGATGAGAAGAAGGAGAAGGATGAGAAGAAGGAGAAGGATGAGAAGAAGGAGAAGGATGAGAAGAAGGAGAAGGATGAGAAGAAGGAGAAGGATGAGAAGAAGGATGAGAAGAAGGGAAGAAGGAAGGAAGAAGGATGAGAAGAGAAGGAGAAGGAGAAGGAGAGAAGGATGAGAAGAAGGAGAAGGATGAGAAGAAGGAGAAGGATGAGAAGAAGGAGAAGGAGAAGGATGAGAAGAAGGAGAAGGATGAGAAGAAGGAGAAGGAAGGATGAGAAGAAGGAGAAGGATGAGAAGAAGGAGAAGGATGAGAAGAAGGAGAAGGATGAGAAGAAGAAGATGAAGAGAGGAGAAGGAGAAGGATGAGAAGAAGGAGAAGGATGAGAAGAAGGATGAGAAGAAGGATGAGAAG